GCCATTTAAAGTTAGGAAGATGAATAGACAAACATTATATCTAGTTTTTGCCATGAACTATTTTCAACAACGAGAGAAGGTAATTCAATCGTCCCGCCCGCCACGGACGGAGGGGAATCAAAGCCAAGCAAGACAAAAATGGCGGAATTTCCCGCGATACCCGATTCTGATTTCGAGGCAGCCTCCACAGCTACAAATATTAAAAAGTCAAAAGAAGAAAAACCGCCGTCGACTACGGCACAAGGAGGATGAAGACAGCGATGGGAGAGGGGAGGAGATCGAAAGATCATTGCAGAAAGATGTTTACCATGTTGCAAATTGAAATCATGATTCCTGCGTATTCTACGCCCTTGACGAGACCCAATTTTGATGTATAGGATTTACTTTAGAATGGCAATTGGCAAAATCTAAATCGACTGCTTGACTGTGTGTGCCAGACGCCTACACATTGGTTCCCGAACTTTGATGTTGGCCAATATGACAGCATTCCTTCTCTCCCGCTTCTCAGTCTTTTGCACAGCTTATAAATCATATGTATGTGTATTGGTGCATGTCTGTGGGTATCATCTTGCATGTGTTTATTCCTTTATCGTTAAAACGCTGTGACTTTTTTCATGGATGTTTAGTAAAGAGAAAAACGAAATATTAGAAGTTCTGTCATAGGAAATGTAATTAGGAAACTTTAGGAATGCATTTTCAATGACACAAATATCAAAGAAAGTTCAACTTTATACGTTTTATTTGTAGAAGTTGCACACAGGAAGTGACAAAATATCATAACAAAAAAAATCAATCATATCAATTTAGAATGCAATTCATTTTTGCATTTATCAACCTCGACTTTTCTCCACATTTATCACCCACTCGAACAAGGGTTAGAATAACTAGTTCTTTTCTCTGGAATGAGGTTAATTCCATGCTGGCTTAAGGAGGTAATTGTTTTCTTTAGTTTGATCAAGATTTCTGCTTTTTACTCTTATTTTTTCTGGCCAAGGGAATGGTCGTCACTCAAAATAGTTAATTATCTTTTATCGCTTTTACTTCGCGGTTTCTTCGCCTTCTCCCAATGCCTCTCCTTCGTACATAGTGCCTTGTAGATGACTAAATCTTTATTTTTCATATTCATTGTACGTGCCTTCCTGATACACTGTCTTTAATACTTTATTGATCTTCGACGCAGGAATTTTCTCTCTGTCATACGCGTTGATACGACCCATTTTAAACCTGCCTTCCTGTCAAGCTTGATTCAGTAGCTGGAAAGAACAGAACTCGGCCAGCGCTTGGGACATTCTGGCTGTTTCTTCCTCTACACAATTACTTGATCAGGGATTCAGGCTGAACTGTAAAGCTAAAAAGACTCGGTATCTATCATGGCGTTAATGATTCAACATCTCTTGTGTTTCTTCGTGTATTTCCTAATTCATGGATTTATAAGTCTGTCTCTCCTTCTACCTATCTACTTGTGTCTGTCTATTCATCCATCTATTTATCTATAATTATTCTTTCATTTTCCATCGGCTTTAGAGTCCACTAGCCTTTCCACACCTGGGGCCGGATACTCAAAACAGTTTACAATATGTCGCAAGGCCTCCGAAGGTCATACTCGAAACAAACATATTTAATACCGGGGAATATCAATTGTCTAGTATTTTCTTTGTTTTTTTCATGCATTACCATTATCGTGAATCAAATATAAATAGACTGTAAATTGAGTTGACAGACGACAAACACCAATGTTTTGGTGGCTGCTCATCTCCATGATCGAACATTGCAGCGTGAGACATTATTATAGGAAATCATAAGTTTCTCTCAATGAAGAGGATAAGCATTTGTTGCGATATCACAGATTTCTTAGATTTGTTTAATATTAGTGTCCTTCCACTGCAGTGACAGTAGCAATAGTACTAGCGGTAGTAGTAGCAATAGCAGAAAGGGTATTAGTAGCCATAGCAATAGTGATAGCAGTAGCAATAGCAGTAGTGGTAGCACGAGCGGTAGGCGCAGAAGTGTGTGGTAGAAATAAAGGTAGTAACAAGGAAAACCATTCGGGAATAAGGGTAAAATAAAGAAAAGAGAAAAGAATGCAAAGGAATGATAAAATACCAAAAGTACAGGAAAAGATGAATAATAAGATCAGTAAAAGTAGAGGAAGAGTCTGATAAAAGTAGAGTAGAAAGATCAGTAAAAGTACGGGTCAGAGTAAATGTTCCGTAAAAATAAAACCGTAAATAAACGGCAAAGACTCGGCAGTAAAGGTCTCGAATAAGTTGCGTTACTTTCATACATATATACATTGTTAAAGGACTAAAAATGATAAAATTAAAAAGTAAAAAAGAACTAGTATTTAAGATGAGTATCACTGGACTTAAACTTATGTTATTTCAGCTTCATTTACGTTATGTATTATTTCAGTTGCCTTTATGCATGACAAACACGCCCAGCATTTTCCAAACAGGCAAGTAACAAAGAGCCAGTACGACCTTTGGTGTAGTTTTGCAGAGAGGGATGTGACACAAACAAAGTGCCAGTTGACACCGTTTATTTGCTCCGTTCCCGGGAACTCGTGACGTCACAACATACTGAAACATGTTTCTTAGGAACAACAAAATCAAATCAGTTGAATATATACTGAAATGATTCATTCCGCATAAAAGATACCAAATTATTAATTAAAAGCTATAAAAACACGGACTAAAAGAGCTTATGAATAGATTAAGAGTTGGTTAAAATAGTAAAAGTGAGATCCGTGAATTTGTAAAACATTCCTTAATA